CAACCCATGGATTCACTTACCACCACCCCACCCCTGTCTCCACCTCCTTAAAAAATTACTATTTGTGAATACATTATCTTGGATTTGATAATAATACATTATCTCAACGAGTCATAATTAATCAGTCACAAACGGTCACAATCGACTACAATCGATCACAAACGGTCACAATGAACTACCCGATAGTCAAATCGCGATCTGGATAAAAAAAGTTCTCCGACACCACCAACTTCGGTTGCGGCCTTCAATGTGACCAACTGTAACCAAATTTGTGTTCAGTGTGATTGTTTGTTATTAATTTTGTATTAATTGTGACAATATTCAAGTCACATTAGGTCACAATTAACACAAAACTGGTCACAACTAGTCACAGTACACACAAATTTGGTCACAATTGGTCACAACGAACAAATTCGCTCACACCGTGGACTAGCACCACAATCTACCACTTGTTATCACCACCATCACCTCCAATTGGAATTTTAAGGTTAGATTTTACTAGTTAGTCACAATGAATCAAATTGTTTGCGATGTTAATTTCATTTTTTTTCTTCTAATACCATTTTCTGTTCGATAACCTACCTTATCAAACAACCAATCGTTTCTATGGATTTGAGAACAATTTACTTTTGACATTAGAGTTATCTTATCATTTCTTCAAAGAATTACACCTATTTCTGGTTTCTGGAGGTCCAATGAACAATTCAATCTCATCAACATCTGAAACTTCACTATTCTCTACATGTCACAGTTGCTCTCTCTTCATTTGATCCCTGCTGTGGTTCAAGTCCAAACTAAATCATCAAAACCTCAAATCAATAACTATGTTGGATTTAAAGAGTTGGGAAGGAACAGAAAATTGCCATGATCATGGCCTTGCAGAACTTCAACAACAATTGACAAAACCACTGCTGGAAACAACCACAACCACAGCCACTAGGCCACAACCACAGCCAAAAACCCCCCACCAAACACACCCAACAATGCACCACTCCACAACCTCACCAAAATGGGGCAGAATGATTTTGGCGGCCTCCTCCACGTCCGTCACCAGAAACAACCCCATCTAATATATATTTATCAAGCATTCTCTCAACAATTACCTCTAATCTAGAATCCACCACCACAGATTCGTCATTCCCTTCAGCAGCCTTAGTCTTGAAATTGGCATATTCATCTATTGCTTTAGCAAGTAGGGTATGAACATAGTCTGAATCCTCTGAAACATCAAATAAAGGGCCAGCTCCAAGGGCATAGGATAAGGAATCATTAAGTTCACCCAGAAAATAAAAAACCTTCAAAACAAGTAATGGACAGTCGGATTGAGACCTTTCGTCGAACACCTTATGGACAGTCGAATTTTCCTTCCCCCTGATGGCTGCAAACACTTCTTCTTTTAGCGGATGACACCATTTTTGTGGTGTCTGCTCCACCATGGATTTGCAGGTGACACCACACACAATACCCACTACAAAGACCACCAGTCACCACCATAACACCCACACCGCACAGTACCCACTACACATCAGGCTCACTTCGGTTCCCTGCCTCAGCATGGGTCAAATACTCCGTCCGTCTTCAGCGCCGCCGTCTGCAACTCCTGATGTAGGTGCCTCTGGCAGTAGTTTGTCATGAAGAGAGAAGGGTAGAGAATGAAGAAAGAGAGAGACGATGGAGAGAAGTGATTTGGTTATAGGGGTGCTGACGGTAGAATTGAAATTTGGGGATGGGTGTGTGGTTATGTTATAATAAATCTATATTAATTAAATTAATAATTCTCAATTAACACCTTATAAATGAATTTAAAACTAATTCCCCTTATTTATGAAAATTAGTTTTTAAAAGTAGGGATCCAGGTAATTTTCTCTTTTTTAAAATGGAACTCCAAAAACTTAATAAGATAAGTACAAACGAAAAATTTGATTCAGTTAAAGTTCAAATGAACAGTATGATTTCAATATCTTTGTTCTCAAGGGAACAGTTTGTCAATTTTTAGCTCGAATGTGCAATTTGATTCCAAAATATGTGTTTTCAAATAAATGATTTCATTTATAAGAGACTCAAACAAATCATCTTATTCAAATATTTATATTCTCAAATGAACTCAAACGAAGATGCTATGATTCAAATACAAAAGGGTCTTCTGCTTGAAAACACATTATGACTTCATCGAAAGGGTCTATCTATGGGGCCTTTACTAAATTTAATTTAGACAAACTTAAACTTATATAGTGGACTTTTTCCCCCATTTCTTTAATTTTTTTCCAACTTGTATGCTTTAAATTTTCATTTGAACTGACCATTTCCTTTTTTAATTATAAAACATCCAACTCAAATAATAACATAAAAATAAATTGTCCACTAAATTTCTTGTAAGCAATGATAAGTGGGACTACGGAGACTTCCATAATGAAAGGGTCAACTCTTGAATCGTTCCTGGTTATATTTGTTTTTAATTATTGAATAATTGAAGGGTTATTAGTACAAAATGTAAGGTGTGAACGTTTTACACAATAAAACTTTAAACGTATAGACATTTTGTGCTAGTAACCCATATTTGAAACATTAAACATTATTATAGATACATAAAACGTCTTTATAATCGTAGCATTGAGACCAAAACTAATTATTATTATAGAAAATGTTAAGATATTTTCAAGAGACTCTTTAAATAGAAGATGATATCTATTTAAAGCGTCAATACTTAAAAATGAGTTTCAAGAAACTCTTTCTTTTAAATTTTTAAAATATAGACTGTTTGATTATCTAAATTTAGAGTCATATTCATTCTCAATTCTCAATTTACTAGGATTGCATTAATAATTTAAAAAATTCAGTTCTGTACTAATTAATGAACGTGTCGGTAAAAAGTCCTTCCTCTCCTGTGAAGGTTCTCCTCCCTTCCCGCTGGTGAAGTTTCTCTCTCCTTCCTCTGGTTTTCCCGGTGAAGGTGTTTTTCCTTCCTATGTGAAGGTTTTTTTTCCCCTTTTTCTTTTTCTTTAACCCTTCCCTCCATTAACCCTAACCCGTTTCCTCGTGAGCTCGCCGGGGGCGGGAGCTTCGGCTCCCGCCTCTCCCCCTCTTCCTTTCCTGTTTTCCCTTTACTTTTTCTTTGTTTTTCTGTTGCCTGTGGTTTGCAGGCTTGTTTTCGGTGTTCCGGTGGTTTGGACCGATGGCTTGGGTGGTTGCTTTCGTGGGGCTTTGGTCAGTGAGAGGTGCGAGCGTGTTTCGACGTGAGGCATGTTGCGGTTGGAGCTGGCGAATGTTTTCTACTAATGGGCTCGGTCGGCGGCTCTTTTTGGCTGGGTTCCAGCGGTGGCCGTAGGGTGGTGGTCGGAGGTGTACTGCGTGTGTGTTGTTTGGCCGGTGTTGGCTTGGTGGTGTTGTTTGTTTTGTGGTTGTCTGTCCTGTGGTGTTGTTTGTTTTGAGTTGTGTTGTGTTGTGTTGTGTTGTGTTGTCTGTTTCTGTTTGTGTTGCTTTGGTTTGCTGGTGTGAAGTCCAGACAATGCCCGTTCTTTGTGGGCGGGGGTGCCTAAGTGCTGATTGCGTAGTTGATTTTCAGTCAGATTTTTCTTGTACTGTAAAGTCACATTTGTTTTTTGACTTTCATTGGCTGTGTCTGTTGTTGTGCCGTCCTTGTTTTCGTGGTCTGGTTTGTTTGTGGTTGTGTCCTGTATAGGTGTTGTGATTTTTGCTGCACTTGGGTGGCACTTAATCTCTCTTAGGAGGGCGTTGTGTTGGAGGTTCTTCTCCTTGTATCCGCTTTGTGCGTTTTTAATGGAATAGTTTTTACATTAAAAAAAATAATAAAAATGAACGTGTCAAATTCAAGGCTTAAACATCGATAAAAGAGAGAGAGATAATTTTAATTACCTAGTACGGCAAATTCTCTATATAATCATAATGTTGAGGTCAAAATAATTTTAATACCATGTAGAAGTGTTATAGTTACAAAAATTATTATTTTGACCTAGTTATCCTTATAGTGCACGTAGTATAGAAGTAAAATATGCACTAAAGTCAAGGTGCATGTGACGCACACCCATCGATAGTCTACAATTTTTGACTTTTTCACACTTAACATCCACGGCCGAATTTTTTCCAAACAAAATATTATGTGCGTTCTTCAATTAATTATATTTCATCAACTATTTGAATTGATCTCATCACTCTATAGAACTCTGGTGAAGTCGCCAACTGGGGTTTTTCCTATTTCTTTCCTCTCAGTTTCTTTCTCATTTAGTCATTTTGGTCAACTTCAATCTCTTGGCCATATTAATAATAAGGGGAAATTGTACACAACTTGATTGCTTAGTCAAGAAAAACCTAATCTTGAGAAGCCAAACGCGTCATTAATTATTATATCATTGACGTTGGAAAAGGATGTAAGAAGTTGTGTTCATCTCTTTAATGCAGAAGACTTGTAGCGATGACTTATTGACAACAAAGACTTGATGCATTGTATTTTGTTTAAAAATTTTAAACTCTTAGGGAATAAATTCTTAGTCGAGTTTAACTTCGATCCGTTTTATCATATGAAATTCAACACATAATTTTTTTTTATAAATAGAGAATAACGAGAATTTGAGCCTAATACTTTACTGATTTGGAAGTTCGTCGATTCATTTTATCCAGAAAAATAAATAAAAGTAAGCATTAAAATCAGCAAATCTATTTATTTAAGTTTTGTTTTACTTCTGCTCTTCCAGTTTGATTTTGGGAACATTTCTCAAGGTTATAATTGGATGATATTAGAAGAATGAGCTGGGCTGAGAAAATAGTGGGCCCAATGGTGTATCTGTGAATATTAAAGAATGAAGCCCAATAATATTAAATTGAAAAGAATAACATGAGTAAGAGCATTTCCTACTCTAAGAAACTTTCTATTTTTAAAGAATATATTCTATAATTTAAAGAGTATCTATAAATTTAAGAGTACATTTTTTTTAAGTACTCCAATAAACTATTTGTATCTAACACTTACTTTTATAGTTTTCCCGTATCATTTATTTTCACTAGCTTCCCTCTAATTTATTATGTTATTTTTCTATTGAAAATTGAAATACTTTCAACGCATTTTATATAGTGCTGGACAAAAACTCGCGAACCAAACTAGACCGGAACCGAACTAAGCCGAGCGATTTTTCTTACCCGAATGGATATTTGAATCGAAAACCGACAGGTTTGGTACTGTTCTCGATTCTAAATGAATAACCGAAAAATCGAATAAGGACTGAATCTCTCTAATTTTTTATTTTAAATAAGTCAATATTTTATTTTTTTTCCTAAATGAATTTGTTAATTAATTAATTTAGCTCAAATGTAAAATATTATTTTACTATTTCTAATTTTCAACCAGCCCAACTTAATCAAATTAACTTAAATTTTACCAAAATCTCTTATTCTACCGTAGTGTCGTTTTGCCGTTCTATTATTGTGAACTGGCTATCTTCCTCTTCTTGTAATTTTAACATTTATATATATGAAGAACTCAACAAAGGGATACGTAAAATATATCACCAGATTGAACTATATTATTTTGTAAGAGTTAATGTTGAATATGTCATAGTCGAACTAATGTAACATTGTTGTAAATATAAAAAAATTAATTGTTGTACGAAACTCGGGAACCAAATCGAATCAAACTGAACCAAATGCCAACGATTCCAAAATTAAATTTGGACTCAACGATTCCACTTATTAAATACCCAAAAATTTTGGTTCGGTTCGGTTCGGTTCTCTTCATAAACGAACTGAACCGGACCATGTCCAACCCTAATTTTATATTCAAAAAGTATTTGAAAAATGCTATACTGAATTAAATGTCGACAGAGAAGGTTGAAATAATTCAGAGGCTTAGGTAAAATCTTGTATTCATTCAAAAAAAATTTAAAAGAAAAGTGATCACAAAGTCAACGAAGATATATTCAGTGATTCGACAAAAATCTCTTACAACAATCGTGAACAAGATGCATACCGACAACAATTATTGATGACAATGCATCTCTTGATGTCGTCAGCAGTCATTGACATTGTTTCCTTCGCTAATGCAGATGAAGAAACATTTATTTTTTCTTCAATATATCGTTATTAATTTAATTTTTTTTTTACTTTTTTTTTTATCTATTTATTCTGGACCGATTTTTTATTCATTAAGTTAAGTTTATATTATAATTACATTATTTATTGATAATATTTAAAAATTTTTGAAATATTTACTTTTTAATATTAATAGTTCAATATGCCCCTAGATCCATCTAGATCTGCCCATACAGACTATACAAACTTCCTCACATAACTATGGTATATCCCGAACCAAAATTTGGGCTACACTGTAGGCAATGTGACACACATTATGCACAAATATATACTAACGTTGGAGGCTACTATGCTCCTGGATCGATCCTTTAGGACGAGGAATTTGATGGAGCATAGG